TGTACATATCCCTCTGTGTATTGTACAGGGGTTACCTTGTCGGCATGTGTCTTCTTCTGCGGCTTCTCCCCGGCCAGAACCTTCTTGACGGCTTCCTTGCTGTCCAGCTGGACATAGCCGTCAGTCGGGATCTCTAAGCGGCGTGACACAACCAACCTTCTTGGCCAGCGCAAGGCCCAGAGCTTGCAGGAACTCATTTGTGCGCTGAGGTTCATGGCCGGCAACAATCTTGGAGGGTTTGGCCAGCAGGGGCTCACCAGTCACCCAGCCTGGACAACACGTATTGTCACTACATCTACGTAGACAACAACCAGTGATAACTCACCCACTACATCTATGGCCTTCTGCAGGAACTCCATCTTCTTCTCTTTCTCCTGACCCACAAACACCTTGAGACACTTCAATATGTTCCATAATACAAGGTAATAAGACCAAATAAATAAACAAATAGTGTGTGATGTTTCGGTAACAGTGTTGTTACCATCATCAGACAAAAGTACTGAAGATGGTAACAACGCTGTTACCGAAACATCACACACTATTTATTTATTTGGATTTGGTCTTATTACCTCGTGTTTATAATCTACAAGCGAATGTACCAGGCTTTGCACGGTTTATATATATATATACAAGGTGCGTTCATTAATTTCCAGGACTGGTTAAAAATAAAATAAATAAAAAAGCTAAAGTAAAAATTTTTATACAGAGTTAAATATTGGACATTTGACCACACCTGACTGAAAGCACGAGTCTCGTGGAGCAGGCGCCGATCTAAAAATAGAACAACAACTTCCTTGTAAGGTTCGCATTTCTAATTTTAAAATGGCCATTTTCGAAGAGCATAGAATCTGCATTAAGTTTTGTTTTAAATTAAAAAAAAGTGCTACTGAGACGTATGAATTGATTAAAGAAGCTTTTGGCGATGCAGCTTTATCCCGTTCAAGAACTTTTGAATGGTTTTCACGCTTCCTAAAAGGTCGGGAAAAGGTAAACGATGATCAGCATACTGGGCGTACAAGATCATTACGTTGCGAGGAAAACAAGCTCAAAATAAAGGAATTAATTAAATCTAACAGAAGAATTTCTATTAAAGACTTATCTTCAGAGACGGGACTATCTGTAGGACTGTGTCATCAAATAGTAACAAAAGATTTGGACATGATCCGTACGTCTTCAAAATTTGTTCCCCAGATTCTAACAGAGGAACAAAGGGAGGTTAGAATGGATATCTGCAAAAACATGGTTGAAATGACTCTGACCGATCCAGAATGGATTCAAAAAATCATTACCGGGGGTGAGACATGGGTGTATCAGTATGACCCGGATACCAAACGTCAATCCAGCCAATGGATTGAAAGAGGGGAACCGAAACCCAAAAGGCAAGATTTACAAAATCCAAAGTCAAGACATTGCTTGTTACATTTTTTTTAGATTAATGGTTTGGTTCACCATGAATATTTATTCCTTTCGGACGTACAATTAATCAAGAGGCTTATTTGGGGATAATGAGGCGCTTAAGGGAGGCAGTGAGCCTTAAAAGACCTGAAAGATGGCAAAACAATGACTGGATACTTCACGTCGATAATGCGCGGCCGCACACAGCCCAAGTTGTTTTGCAGTTCTTGGCCAAGCATTCAACCATACAGATCCCTCATCCACCCTATTCCCCCGACTTAGCCCCCAATGACTTTTTCCTCTATCCTAAATTGAAAATGAAGTTAAAAGGAAGGAAATTTGCCAACGTTGATATGATACAAGCTGAATCGAAGACAACCTTGAGGAACCTTTCAAAAAGTGATTTTATCTCCTGTTTCGACAATTGGAAAAAAAGATGAAACAGGTGTATTGAGGCAGGAGGGGCATATTTTGAAAAATATTAAATTAGTTTTTTTTATTTATTTTATTTTTTCAAAGATACAGAGCAGTCCTGGAAATTAATGAACGCACCTTGTATAACCACCAATGCTTATAAGAAATGGCCATATTTGGGTATTTATTTCATTCACAAAAGCAAACGATGACAGAATTGATTGTTGATGACTCTGATACTTGTATATATAATAATCCAAATTGTGCCTTATCATTTTCCATAGTGTTCAAACACCAAGGGAATAAAGGCTTTTTAAATTATAGTACAACACCCACTTCTTTAATTCAACACCCCAAAAGGGATTGAAATTTACTGTTGAATTGTCTTTTTCTATTGAATTTTGGTGAAAGTGTGGGTTGATAATGAGCAACGCAAGTTAGGTGCAGAACCAGGTTTGCTTCCGGCCCAGAGCCGTACCACAACCTTTATCCCATGATGATGGTTCTCCCCTTAATGGGAACTCTCTCTCCTTCTTAGAAAAGGCAAAAAAAAAAAAGGTCTCAAAATTGGCCTCAATTAACTTCTTTTTTTTTTTTTAACTTATCCAAAGTACACCTAAGTACAAGCTGTAATATTCATGGTGGGCAGTAGTTAATGACTTGTTCTTACTGTAAGAACACCACATGTCTACACATGTAAGAGAGCAGTTTGACTTTTGCACTTACAAATGTGGCAGGGCCTCGTTTGGTTATTTAAACTCACTGGCGGAAGTTTTCCAAAAATCTGGGAAGCCATTGAAGCTCATTTTCTTTCCAAAAAAAAAAAAAGCCCAATGCGGGATTCGATCCCAGGTTATTAATGACAAAGGAAGACACATTCTACTTCACCTAGTCATGATGTTGCCAAGTTCTACAGGCTTGATACCATAATATGATTGAGAGGAGATGAAGACACTCCCGCTATAGGACACCTCTCTACAAAGGACATGTAAGACACAATTTGGATTATAGATTAGAAACACAAGGTAATAAGACCAAATAAATAATGTTTAAGTGATATTTCAGTAACAGCATTGTTACTGATAAGTCACACAGTATTTATTTATTTGGTCTTATTACCTTGTGTTTCTAATCTATAATCCAAATTGTACCTCACCATCCCTGGAAGGTTTAATTTTCATTTTATTGATTAGAAACAAGGGATGAATTTAGTGAAAAGTGGACAATGTTGAGGAGTAGCAAAGTGCCCCAAATAATTAGATCTATAGGAATGGAAACCCAGTTCCTCGAACTGTTTCTTCTACAATATTGAATAGAGAGATTATGCCCTAATTACATATATAAAAAGAAAGTTCACCTCTCGAGTCAAAATAGAAGCACAGCTCAATCAATTGACCATCTCTACAAACTAGCAGACACTGGTTGCTGACACAACACCAGATTTGGCAACTTCAGCTTTGTCACTGAGTCTTACAAGTAGGCAAAGACGATTAATAGATGGCACAGTCTTTTTGACATGTCTATTCTGACTGGAGAGGTGGCCTTGTTTTTCATAGATCAATATTCTTCCAGAGGAAAAATATCCAGTCAACACATATAATCAGATCTGATAAACACGGGGCGGGGAATCCTTCCAAAGGTCAGGGTAACAAAAGATGCAATCAACA